TTGCCTCCAATGATTCTGTTGAGAAATCAGCTGACAGTCTTTTCTCTTTTTTTTTACTTTAAAATTTTATTTATTTTAGTGAGAGAGAGGCAAAGAAACAGCGATTCATTGTTCCACCTATTTATGCATTCATTTGTTGATTCTTATGTGTGCCCTGACCAGGGATTGAACCTGCAACCTTGGCGTATTAGGAGAATGTTCTAACCAACTGAGCTACTCAGCCAGGGCTCAGCTGACAGTCTTATGAGAGCTCCCCTGTAGGTAACTAACTGCCGTTCTCTTGCTGCTTTTAAGATTCTCTCTTTGTCTTTAACCTTTGGCACTTTAATCGTTATGTATCTTGTTGTGGGCCTCTTTGGGTTTATCTTATTTGAGACTCTCTGAGCTTCCTATACTTGTTTGTCCATTTCCTTCACCAGGTTAGGGAAGTTTTAAGGTATTATTTCTTCAAACAGATTTTCAATTCCTTGCTCTCTCTTTTCTCCTTCTGCTACCCTTTGATGTGAATGTTGAAATGGTTGATGTTGTCCCAGAGGTCTCTTAAACTATCCTCATATTTTAAAATTCTTTTCTTTTTGCTGTTTCAATTGGGTGTTTTTCTCTACTTTGTCTTCCAAATCGCTGATTCGATCCTCTTCTTCATGTAATCTGCTATTTGATTCCTAATTAGTCTACTTTTCATTTTTGACTAGTTCTTTTTTATGGTGTCTATGACCTTACTTATGCTATTTATACTATCTCTTTGGTTAAGTTCTCACTTAGTCCATCTATTCTTCCTCTAAGTTCACTGAGCATCCTTATAACCAGTGTTTTGAACTCTGCACCTGGTAGCTTGGTGGCCATCAATTCATTTAGTCCTTTTTCTGGAATTTTCTCCTGTTCTTTCCTTTGAGGCATGGTTCTTTGTCTTCCCATTTTGGCTGTGCTTGTTTCTATGTAGTAGGTAGATTTTCTTTGTCTCCCAGTCTTGGCAAGGTGGCCTTATGTAATAGGTGTCTCTCTGGTCACCTGAGCTGGGTACTCCAGGAGTGTCCGCTGTGTGGGGTGAGAGTGCCCTCCTGTTAGAGGTGAGTAGGTGCGTCTGAGTAGGGTGGGCCCTCAGGTTGACTGGCCACGACCACAGAGCACGATTCACCCTAAAAGAGCTCTGGTGCTTGCTGAGACTACCCTTTGGGTGTGCCTTTTGTGGCGATAATCAAGTGGTGCTCTGTTGTCGTCTGAAGGCAACCACTGAGGCCTCTTGAGGGTTTCCAGTGCAACCCCAGGTCACCTGCTGCCTATGCCTAGCCCCGGGCCGCCTGGTAGAAGCTACAAAGAAATCCGAGGTTGGGAGCTGCCTATGTTGGTCTGGGAGGTGCCTGGGAAGGGTCATGCTCCAAATTGATGCCAGCTACCAGCAGTGCCCACCCGGGTGCTCAGCAGGAGGCGCAGGGCAAGCTGAGGCCAACTGCCACCTCTGAGGCCTCTGGACCTTTGTGTTTTTGGGAAAGTCTGTAGTACAGGCCAAAGCGGACTGCCTGGAAAAACAGTCCTTGAAAGTGGCTCGAGTCATGTGCTGAAATGTGTTTTCTACAAAGTTTGAATTTTGTACTTTAATATTTCAGGTTTCTTTCCTAAAAATTGGAATATCTGATTACTCAGAGCTCCATTCCCACTCTGATTCTTGTGTTGATTGTCTGGCCCTTTTGAACATTTTATTTATTATTATTATTATTATTTTAAAATATATTTTTATTGATTTCAGAGAGGAAAGGAGAGGGAGAGAGAAAGAGAAACATCAGTGATGAGAGAGAATCATTGATCAGCTGCCTCCTGCACGCCCCTTACTGGGGATCGAGTCTGCAACCGAGCATGTGCCCTTGACCGGAATCAAACCGGGGACCCTTCAGTCCACAGGCCGACACTGTCCACTGAGCCAGACCAGCTAGGGTTGAACATCCTATTTAATAAGAATAATATGCTCTGATGGGGTCAGGTAGGCAGAGGGCAGCAGCTAACATTTTGATCTAAGGAGTCACAAGACTTTTGGTTTCGAATTCTGACCCCATCATGGTCTTGCTGCGTGACTCAGAGCTAACCACTCTCCTCTCTGGACCTCGCTTTCCATCTGTAAGAGGGAATCGGTGAATCCCCTCGCCACTCCCCGCACGGCAGAAGCAGCCTAGAAAAAAGGCTCACCGTACGGGTGCTGTTGTCCTGTTCTAAGAGTTTTCAGACTTGTTTCTTAGCAGAGGGTCTATGCAAATAATAACCTTACGCTGGCTTGTATAATAATCTGCCCACTAGCCGGAGCCCCTCGCTTTCACAATGGAGTAAGTGACAGAGGCCAGTGGCCTTCCCAAAGCCACAGCGCATGTTGCAGGCTCACAGCTCCCATTCTCATACTCAGTTCTCCATGCCGCCTGCCTCGCTGACGCCACTCCCCAAGTGGTATATGTGGGGCTGATGGGCACATGGATGATCCGAGGGGCGTGGTGGCTGTGTTTCTTGTGTGGACAAGGAAGCTGACATTCAGTCATTTTCCTCAAGTCAGACAGCTGGGGGGTGGCATGGCCAGCGTCTCGCTGCCTCATCCTGAGCGTCTCCCTCTTGCCAGTGCCCCCAGACTGGAGTCCCCTTGTCTGCCTTCCCTACAGCCGTGTCTCTGTCCTGGTCTGCACCTCCATTCCAGCCACACCAGCTTCCTCGCTGGCCTTCCAACAAACACTGGGTCCTGCCCCAGGTCTTTGTGCTTGCTGTTCCCTCACCCTGGAGTGTTTGTTCCTCCTGACCCATGGTCTCCCTTCCTTCCTTCTTGTCTTTCTGGCCCAGCTCAGATGCCCCCTCGTCGGACTGGCCTGCTCCCACCACCACAGCTAAAACCAGCTCTCCAGTAACCTGCAGTCATCCACCTAATGTTCATTCTCTGCGGGCACCGTCCAGTCCATGTTCTCATGTGTTCATTCTTTAATTTATACATTTTATTATCCATTTAGTCTAAGGTGACCGCTTTTGGCGGGACAGTCCCGATTTTTAACAATTTGTCCCGCGTCCCTCGGCATTTTAAAAAAGTGCTGATTGGCCGAAACTGGTTTGGCTCAGTGGATAAAGCGTCAGTCTGTGGACTGAAGGGTCCCCAGGTTCGATTCCGGTCAAGGGCATGTACCTTGGTTGCGGGCACATCCCCAGTAGGGGGTGTGCAAGAGGCAGCTGATTGATGACTCTCTCTCATCGATGTTTCTAACTCTCTATTGCTCTCCCTTCCTCTCTGTAAAAAATCAATAAATATATTATATAAAAAAAAAAAGTCCCGATTGGACTTTTTTAAAATGCCGTGGGTCATGGGACAAATTGTTAAAAATCGGGACTGTTGCCGAAACCAGTTTGACTCAGTAGTAGAGCGTCGGTCTGTAGACTGAAAGGTACCGGGTTCAATTCCAGTCAAGGGCATGTACTTTGGTTGTGGGCACATCCCTGGTAGGGGGTGTGCAAGAGGCAACTGGTCGATGTTTCTCTCTCATCGACGTTTCTAGCTCTCTATCTCTCTCCCTTCCTCTCTGTAAAAAATCAAGAAAATATATATATATATTTTTTAAAATCGGGACTGTCCCGTCAATAGCGGGACGTCTGGTCACCTTAATTTTAGTCAACATTCACTGGGCGTCCATCATGTGACAGGCCATGTTCTTGGCCCAAGGGGTACAGCAGCAAACAATGCAGACAAAAACTGCAGTACTTACTTCTAGAAGACAAAGCAAACAGTAAAGAAGCGAAATATAGATTATGTTCAGTAAGTAGTATTTTTTAAATTACATTTTTATTGGTTTCAAAGAGGAAAGGTTAGGGAGAGAGAGAGAGAGAAACATCAGTGATGAGAGAGAACCATTGATCGGCTTTGGCTGCCTCCTGCACGCCCCACACTGGGGATTGAGCCCGAAACCCAGGCATGTGCCCTGACCCGGAAGTGGACTGTGACCTCTTAGTTCACAGGTTGACACTCAACCACTGAGCCATGCCAGCTGGGCAGTAGTATGCTTTTCAGAAAGGGAGATATGAAATCTTATGACAGCAGTTGGTGAGGGGAAGCCTTCTTGAGGAGCCGACTTTTGAGCTGAGGCCTGAAGGAGGTGAAGGGGAGCCGCCGGGGACCTGGGCAGGGTGGACAGCGTGCAAAGGCCCTGAGGCGGGAATGTGCAGGGAATGCTGAGGGAGCAGCGAGGAGGCCTCTGTGGCTGGAGCACAATGAGTGAAGGGAGGGCAGAGGGGAAAACAAACCGAGGGGCAAAGCCAGGAGCCGGGGACCAGTTCAGAGGTGAATGCACTGGTCCAGGCAAATGATAAGGGGGGCTGGCCAAAGACAGGCTGAGAAGTGGGCCAATTTTTATTTTTATTTTTTAAATACATTTTATTATTTATTTATTTTTTTTACAGAGAGGAAGGATGAGGGATAGAGAGCTAGAAACATCAATGAGAGAGAGAAACATCAAATCAGGTGCCTCCTACACACACACCCCCAACAGGCAATGTGCCCGCAACCAAGGTACATGCCCTTGACTGGAATCGAACCTGGGACCCTTGAGTTCGCAGGCCGACGCTCTATCCACTGAGCCAAACCGGTTAGGGCCAATTCTGAATAGATCTGAGCAGGGAGGCTGATTTGAGGTGCCGTGGGAAAAGCAGAGTCAATGAGAACCCCACAACTTGGTGTGTGCATCGTTGCTAGGCTAACCTATTGGAAGCCCAACCCTCCCGTGTCATCTCCGTGAAGCACAGGTCATGGACTGTCTCGGTCACCAACGTGTCCCCAGCACCGGCCAGCACAGCGGAGCCTGGCTCACGGAGGCTCCCCGTACTGCTGATCCCTACAGTTCTTCGTCTCCCATCTCTTTTGGGGTGTCTCTCTCTTCAGCGTCCTCTACCTGTCCCTCATTTCTGCCAGGAGTTCCCTTGGGCCCCCTGTCCCTCTTCACCTCCCCAATGCCACCCCAGCCCCCCTGACCCGGCTCCTGCCGCCCCTGCAGCTTCGAGGCGGAGAATGGGCCGGCCCCGTCGCCCGGCCGCAGCCCCCTGGACTCGCAGGCGAGCCCGGGCCTCGTGCTGCACGCCGGGGCGGCCGCCAGCCAGCGCCGCGAATCCTTCCTCTACCGCTCCGACAGCGACTACGACATGTCGCCCAAGACCATGTCCCGGAACTCGTCCGTCACCAGCGAGGCGTGAGCACCCCCCAATCCCACCTGCCAGCTATGCCAGGCCTGGCCCTTTCACCAGCTGCCCTTCCCAGCAAGGAGGGGGAGCACTGCCCACGCCCCCAGAGGAGGGTAAACAGCCCCCTACCCCCATCAGGAGCTCAGTCCCTTTCTAGCATGTCCATCCAGTGAGTGCCCACCCTGTCTCTGCCCCCCACCCAGCCACCCCTAGACCCTCCCTCAGCTCAAGCCCCTACCCTTGTTCATATAGTCCCACCTCCCCAACACACCCATTGGCTGCTGGGGCCAGGCCCCACCTCAGCCTGTGTCTCTAGCAAGGAGGGGAGACCCCCCTCCCCACAGTGGACCCCCTCCCGGCCACTGCTTCCTCCCAGTGTCCACTTCTGCTGAGCATCCTCCCCTCCCCTCCACCAGCCTTTCCTAAGCCGATTCCCTCGTCACTGCCACCTCCAGAGGTGTGAGCACGCCCAGACCTGCTCAGCCCCCTCCCCTCTTATTGGATCCTCCCCCCCCCCGCTTTACTCATCAAGGTACCCATCTCGCACCCCCCCTCAGGCCCCTTTCTGCTCTACTTCCCCCCACCCCCACTGTTCTCACCTACCCCCACCCACTGCAGCCCTTCTCCCCGACTACCATTTCCTTCGGGACCAGCCCTCGCAGCATGCTCACTCTTGTGAGGCCTAAGTGCCCCCGAGCCCCCTCCCTGCCCACCAGGCTCCCTGGGCCCGGCCTCCACAGAGTGTCCGCCCAGGAGAGTTGCTTCTCTGGCACCCCACCCCCTCTCCTCCCAGGTGCCCCTGCGCGGACCCCTGACCCAGCCCTGTCCTTGTTGTAGGTATGCTGAGGACCTCATCGTGACACCCTTCGCCCAGGTGAGGCCTCGCCCCTAAGGAGGGAAGGGACGCCAAACCTCCCCCACACTTGGGGACCGGCCCATCCCCTCTCCTCACTGCCGTCCCGCTCCCAGGTGCTGGCCAGTCTCCGGAGTGTTCGCAGCAACTTCTCCCTCCTGACCAACGTGCCCATTCCCAGCAACAAGTAAGTTGAGCCGGGCCCCAGCAGCCACGATCGCAAAGCCACGCACACCTGGGTTCCACCCTGGGTCCTGCCTTGTGACCTCAGACAGGCACTTGATCTTTTTTTTTTTTTTTTTAATATATTTTATTGATTTTGTACAGAGAGGAAGGGAAAGAGATAGAGAGTTAGAAACATTGATGGGAGAGAGTCATCGATCAGCTGCCTCTTGCACACCCCCCACTGGGGATATGCCCGCAACCAAGGTACATGCCCTTGACCGGAATCGAACCCGGGACCCTTCAGTCCCCAAGCCAACACTCTATCCATTAAGCCAAACCAGTTTCGGTGGCACTTGATCTTTCTGCTCAGGTGACAGCTCCCTCTGAGCCAGTAACCTCGGGCCATGCAAATGCCACAGAAACTTTTATAAAGAAAGAGCGAGGGTTCCAGATACAGGCTGGTGAGACCATAGGCGGCCAGCCACTCCGAGGCTGGGGTTACTCCCTCCCTGACGCTAACTTGCTGGACAGCTAGGATCCTGTGGAGTATCTGTTCCCCTTCATAAAATAGGAACTTAATAGCTCCTCCATTAGATGGCTGCTGTGAGGAGTCCAGAAGATGATATAGGGAAAGTCCTAAAACATTGCCCAGCACATAGTACATGCTCACTAAATAGAAGTACTTCTTATTTGGGTCAGGGTGTGGCTGAGAGCTGCTGGTCCCTCTGGGAGTGGGGGGTGGGGGGAAGGGACTCGGGGCGAGAGGGGGAATGGAAGGAAGCAGGAACTTTGGAGACACAAGACCTGACCCTACTGCTGATTGGCCATATAGTCCAGGAAGCTGGTTCACCTCCTTGAACCTCAGTTCCCCTGTCTGTAAAATGGGTTCTGTGAGAGGCTGCAGAGGACATGGCAGCGTGCCTGGGACACACTGAGCGCTCAGCAAAAGGAATATTGGCACCACGCACGGAAAGGGGTAGCCGGGACCTGGAGGGGCCCAGGCTGGCACTGGAGCCCCATTTCTTTGCAGGCGATCCCCACTGAGTGGCCCAACCCCGGTCTGCAAGGCCACACTGTCAGGTAAGCCCAGGGGTAGTGGAAAAGGGCCCCTATTACTGGTAGTTGATTCACCATCCCCTTTCCCAGTACTCCACTCACCTGGCAGACCCCCATGGCCACGGGCGGGGGCCTCCGAGGGCCTGCCTGTGGGTTCTGTCAGTCATCGCCCCTGCCGCCCCTCCTCCAGAGGAGACCTGTCAGCAGCTGGCCCGGGAGACGCTGGAGGAGCTGGACTGGTGTCTGGAGCAGCTGGAGACCATGCAAACCTACCGCTCAGTCAGCGAGATGGCGTCCCACAAGGTGTGTGGACCTCCGTCAGTGGGGGGAAGGGAGGGGCAGTCCCTGGGTGGGGCTGTGGGTGGGGCTGTTCCTAGGCAGAGCCTGTGGGGTGGGCCCTGGGGCGGGGCTAGCCACAGGGCGGTGCCAGTGGGCAGGGCCAATCTGTGGTTAGGGCTATAGGGTGGGGGCACAGCTTCTATAGATTGTTACTTCTCCCAGGACCTAGGTAGCCTGGTGTGTGTGTGTGTGTGTGTGTGTGTGTGTGTGTGTGTGTGGGCATCTGTCCATAGACAATCATGTTTCTTGGGGAGGGGTCGCATGCTTGTATGGTCTACAGGTATGTACCTGTGGCTGTGAGTCTTTGTGGCTGTCCATTTGTTGGCTACACACTTGCAGGGGGGAGGGGGTTCCAAGAGAACGGAGTACACATGTGTACCTGTGGGTGGTGTGTGGGTGTGCACAGGCGATTGTGCAGGGTAGTGTGTGGGTCTGTGCCAGAGGGCTGTGTATGCCTACATTTGCCCAGGTGAGACCTGGCCCCTAAGTTGGTGCCAAATGAGTTGGTCCACATTTGTGGTGTGTCTCTCCATGTGTTTGTGACTCTCTGCGTGTGCTTGCACATGTACGCATGTGCTTGCAGGGCTGCAGGGGCGGGTGCAGGGCCTCCATGGATCCCCATTCAGAAAGTAGGCAGAGTGAACGCTGCTCCCTGGAGTTGTGCGGCGTAGTGGCAGGCCCTGTGGGAGGAGGCATCTCGGGAAATGAGTGTACAGGTGGGGGTGTCTGTGTTGGGGCGGTGCCTATGCCTGTGGGGGAGATTTGTCTGGGAACATATAAATCTGAGGGTAATTGTGCCTCTGAGGGTGTGTTGAGCATCTGAGCATGTGACTGCATCTCTGAATGTGAATCTGCGAGTGTGTCTGTGTGTGTGTGTGTCTGTAAGTCTGTGTGTGTTTACTCCCTTATGGATTTGTCAGGATATGTTTGATTCTAAGGGCATATAGGTATTTGTTTGTTTGACAGTGTGTGTGTATGTGTGTGTGTGTGTACTCCCTTATGGATTTGTCAGGGTATGTTTGTGTCTAAGAGCATATAGGTATTTATGTTTGTTTGAGTGTGTGTGTCTGTGTGTGTGTGTCTGTAAGTCTGGGTGTGTGTACTCTCTTATGGATTTGTCACAGTATGTTTGAGTCTAAGGGCATATAGGTATTTGTTTGTTTGAGAATGTGTGTGTGTGTGTCTATGTGTGTGTACTCCTTATGAATTTGTCAGAGTATGTGTTTATAAGTGTGCCCCCTATCTGAGTGTGTGTCCCTCAGCATGTGTCTCCATGTCTGGGTGTGGGTCTGTGCTCTTGGAAGAGGTGTGTCTGGAGGCATTTGTATCTCTGTGTGCTCAGCTATATACCTACTAAGCTGTGACCTTTCAGAGTTGTGACTGTGTGTGTGTGTGTGTGTGCATGTGGTCAGTGTAGTACCAAAAGCATCCGGATATCTGTGTGTGCTCAGTGTGTCAAGTGCCTGGCTGTGTTCCTGTGGAGGGCGTGTCTCAGAGTGTGCGTATGTCTGTGCGTGTGGGGAGCATCTGGGTGTGTGTCTGTGTCTCTGGGTGTGTCCATGGAGGAGGCATGTCCTCGAGCGGGTGTGCACTGCCCTGCCTATCCCTGCAGCCCCACCAGGGCCTGGCCGAGGTCTGTGGGCTCTGATGCCCCTTTAACGCCCCCCCCACACCCGGCGCCAGCTGACATCACATGCAGCCTGCCAGTGCTGCAGTGAGCACGCACACACAGGCGCACAAACGGAGCCCAGAGCCTCTGAAGCCGCCTCCCGGGACCCTCGCCCTGCCCCTCCATGGGCAGCGGTCCCTGGCCACCTCCGGCCACTGCTGAGGGGGGGCCCAACGAGGCCGGGGGCCGGCAGACCATGTAACCAGAGCTGCCCCCGGGAGCGCGGAGGGGAAGGGAGCCCCCAGCACTGCTGGGCCGGCCCAGGCCCCTCCGCGGCTCCCCCTTCCGCTGCCCACCTGCCCGGCACCCCACCCCCGCCCCAGACGGTGGCCGTTCACCCCGGGACTCCCCAAGCTCTGCCTCTGTGTGCGCCAGCCCTGAGCAGGGCTAGACTCCAAGATGCCCTTGGTGGATTTCTTCTGCGAGACCTGCTCCAAGCCATGGCTGGTGGGCTGGTGGGACCAGGTAGGGGATCTCCGGGGGGTGGATGGGCAGGAGACCCTTCGACCTCTGACCCCTCAACCTCTGGTCTGAACCAGTGTGTCCAGCTGTGCACATGTGTGGCCTGGAAATGAATGCTTACGCCTGTGTCTCTGTGTGCGGCCCGGGGCCGGGGGTAGAGGGTGGGTGGCTGGGGGTGTGGATCTCTCCAGGTGTGACTGTCAGTACACACGTGTGTGTCTGCGGTGGTATGGGGCCACCTAACCATATGCTTGTTTGCCCGGGTCGTGGGGTAGCCCGGTCTGAGATCCTGTGGCTCCGGTTGTTTTGTGTGTTGGACATGTTTGTGAGTTCAGAGCTACATGGTTTTTCGGGGGCATGTGACCTCGAGTGTCAGTGACCACCTTAGCGCACATGCCCCTCGATGTATGTCTGAGGCTGGGTGAACTGGGTAACACAGAAATCTGTGTGCGGTTTGTGACTTTGTGGGTCCATCTTGCTTGCGCGGGTGCGTGTGCCTGTGCGTGTGCCTGTGAGTGTGTGTGCGTGTGCGTATGCGTGTGTGTGTGTGTGTGTGTTTATGTGTGCCCGGGGTCTCTGGGCAGCACTGGGTGGAGTAAGTGCCCGTCCAGTGTGGGCACTCAGGCTTACCCTTCCTGCCCAGTGTCCTAGTGTCGGCTTCTGCTTTTGGGGTGCTTTGGCAGCTCGGGGGCGGGGAGCTGATGCCCTTTCTCCTCCTTGCACAATGTCACAGCAGATGCTGTGTGAAGTAGCATGGGGGCACCAGGAGAGGCCCCCAAGCCCAGCGCTGGGCATATTACATTCATGTGTGACCTGTCCGCCCCCGGAGGCTGGAGAAGAGGGGGCGATGATGGGGAAACCCCTCTGCCCAGTGACCAAACTAGGGCTTCCTAAGCCCACTATTGTCCCCTGTTCCAGACAAACCTTTTCTTCGCCCAGAACTTGGGAACTGTGGCCCCTCCTTCCCAACTGGGCTGAGTGCGGAGGCCAGGACTCCCAGGGAGTGGGGTCCATGCCTGGGAACTCGGGCCAGGAGTACCTCTGGGAAGGCAAGGGTTAAAGGGCCTGCAGCCTACCCCGCCTTTTCCCCAAGCTCAGAAGCTGGTTGGAAGGGGAGTTGCTAAGGAGACTCCCATCTCCATGGCAATGGGATTCTCCTGGTACCTCATTGGCTTCCTGTTAGGAGCCCCTCCCTTCCACAGTGTCCCTCTGGCTCCTCCTGGGCGGGGGAGAGGATGGGCAGGGGAGCCCCATCCTCAGGCAAGGAGAGTATGCCCAGTCCTGACTCCCAACGCCTGGGGGCGCCCACCGGGAGCTGGAGGAGAGGAAGGGCTGGCCCCTCCCCTGGGCAGCGTGCTGGGGGCTCTGTTGTCTGAACAGAGAAGTAGGAGGGACTCATGGAGCCCTCAGAAGTTTCTTGGGCGAGGCTGACTTCCCCCCCTTTCCCTCGACTCCCTCATTCCTCCCTTCTTGCCTCCTTCACCTTAGTTCAAGAGGATGCTAAACCGGGAACTCACACACCTGTCAGAGATGAGCAGGTCAGGAAACCAGGTCTCTGAATACATCTCCACCACATTCCTGGGTGAGTGAGGGGCAGCCCGCGCAGGGGTGCACACCTGGCTGGAGGGGTCCCCAAACCTTGGGTCCCCATTGCCCACCTTTGCCCAAGGGACTCTGACTCAACTCTCCAAAGGTCAAAGTCACCGTGTTCAAGAGTTCCCGTACTCACAATGCCCCCAAATCCAGTGGGACCCTCACTTCTGTAGAACACCACGTTTAAACATCTCTCCCAACCGAAAAGCTCTCCCAAACCCATGGGACCCCAAGAAACCCCCAAACTCAAGTAGAAATCTTAAACGTGATGGTGCCTCCAGGCTGAGCCCTGGCCGCGTGGCTCAGTTGGTTGCAGGCTGTCCTGTTGTGCCACCCGGGCTGTGAGCTGGATCCCTCCTTGGGCACCTGCTAGAGCCAACTAATGAACACAGGAATGGGGGCTTGGCAAGATTATGTTTCTCTCTCTCTCTCTCTCTCTCTCTCTCTCTCTCTCTCTCTCTCTCTTCTCTCTCTTAAACCAATACTTTTTAAAAAGAAAAGAAAATGCCTCCAGGCTGCAAAGCCCCACAAAAGTCAATAGCATCTGCAAGCGTGGAGTCCCCCAAATTAAGAAGAGTGATGTCTAAACTCAGAAGGGTTCTCCAACATAAGGAAATTTCTGCCCTGAAAAATCCATAAAAGACCTGCAAACGAAATAAAAAACCTTCAAGCTGAAAAGTCTCCCAAATTCAGTAGTATCCCCAAACGTTAGCCGTCCAAACTCAACAGCCTTCCAAAGAGATCCCCCAAACTGAGGAGCATTTCCTCTCCGTGGCACCCTAATACAGAATACCCCACATGTATTGGAACCCTCAAGCTCACCCCACCCTCTGAACTCAAGAGCCCACGCTGAGAATACCCCTCACAAACTCAGGATTTCACCCTCACAGTTCATCACTAAAGATTCCCAAAGTCAGGGCATGTGTACACCCCACCCCAAGTTTAAGAGAAGGTTCTGGTTTTCAAATGCTCCCACCAGTGGGGATGTGGCTGTGCCGGGTTCTGAGATCCAGCCATTGGGAGCGTGGCAGGCAAATGACCCAGGAGGGCCCTGTCATTGGCTGGGGAGGCCCAGGTCACAATGGGTGGCCCTGACTGGGTTCTGGAAGCCCCTGAAAGCTGGAAAAAGGCTCCAGGGCCTACTTGCCAGACAGACGGGTGTTACGCAGTAGAAGGGTGGGGGGATTCACGGAGCCAGAGACCCCCCTTTCCTCCCTCCTCCCAGCACTGGCTACCCCCACCAATACTCTCTGTCACCATGGAGGTGTCTTCCCAGCCACCTCCAATCAGGGCAGGCAGCTTCTCTCTCTGACATCCCCACCCCACTTCCTTCCCATGCTGCTCCCCTCCCCCCCCCCCCGCACTCCCCCAAAACCTTGCCATTGGACTGGGCCACCCCCCAGGTCCTGGCAGGCCCCAAAGTCCCCACTCCAGCCCTCCAACTTCCCAGAAGACTTCCTCCGTCCCCTCAGTTTCCAGCTCTGGGTAACCAGCTGCAGGACGCCCAGGAGGGGTCTTCTGTCCTGGGCAAAGCTTCCCCAAGCTAACGGGGTGGGGCTGAGAGCCAGCGGAGGGGATCTCTGAGGGGGCCCATGCTTACGCTGCTCTGTCTTCTCCAGACAAGCAGAATGAAGTGGAGATCCCATCGCCCACAATGAGGGATGGAGAAAGGGCACCCCGGCCGCGACCCTCCCACCAGCCTCCACCCCCAGAGCCACAGTTCCAGCCCATGTCTCACATCACGGGGGTGAAGAAGATGATGCACAGCAGCAGCCTGACTGACGCCAGCATCCCCCGCTTTGGGGTGAAGACAGACCAAGAGGAGCTCCTGGCCCAAGTGGGTGGGGCCCCCGCAGGGGCTGGGCTGGAGAAGGGCAGGGGCTCCTGGAGAGGGACTGGGTGGTGGGTCAGCCCAGTGGTCGGCAAACTCATTCGTCAGCAGAGCCAAATATCAACAGTACGACGATGGACATTTCTTTGGAGAGCCAAATTTTTTAAACGTATATTTCTTCTAACGCCACTTCTTCAAAAGAGACTCTCCCAGGCCGTGGTATTTTGTGGAAGAGCCACACTCAAGGGGCCTAAGAGCCGCGGGTGGCTCGCGAGCCGCAGTTTGCCGACCCCGGGGTTAGCCTGAAATGAGGATTGGGGTGGACGAATCCCCAGAGCATTCCTATGAAGCCTTTCGCAAACCCACACGGTGTAAAACGAAGCGGTTGCTGTTAACTGACGTGTCTTTATTTGGTTTTGGATCAAAACACTTAATCACACGCAGTTTTACACGAAGCGTAACACCCTTGCAAGCTCCCGTAGGCTTTTCTGATACCTGGGCCGCATCTCGCTGATGGTTGCACAAAGTAAACTGAGATAAAGCACAGGTGCCCACAGACACAGTTCACGGCTCTGGGGCCTGGGCGCCCGGGAGCCGGGTGCGGAACTGGGAAGGAGTTTGGCCGGGCCACTCTCGCCGCTCAGCGCTGCCGCCTGTGTAACCGCTGCTGCAAAGCAAACGCTAACTGCGGTTTTCTGTTGTGGCTTTCCACCTCTTTTTGTAAAGGCAAACGGCCTCTTTGGGTTTCCTTCGGTTAGCAGAAACAGGTACTAACGGAGGTCTGCCATAAAAGTGAGGGGCGCCCTAGCTGGTTTGGCTCAGTGGGTAGAGCGTCAGCCTACAGAGTGAGAGGTACCAGGTTTGATTCCTGCCACGGGTACATGCCCGGGTTGCAGGCTCGATACCCAGTAGGGGGCGTGCAGGAGACAGCCAATCAATGATTCTCTCTCATCATTGATGTTGCTATCTCTCTCCCTCTCCCTTCCTCTCTAAAATCAATTATATATATATAAAAGCAAGTTGCATAACATGAACTTCCTGAGATTCTTGGGAGTAGGAGGGAAAGGAGCTAAGCAAGGAGGTGGTCTCCCTCAGCCTGGCCTCAGCTGGACCTCACGGGAGTTGTGAACAGCACTCAAGTCCACCTTGAGTTGGGGGAGCGCTGGCCTCTGTAGCCCTGTGTCCTCACTGGCTGCCCCAGGATGGACGGCACATCCCCTCCATGTAGCTCCTGTGGGGACAGAAGCAGTTTTCTGGAGCATGGGACAGCTGTGAGCCTGAGAAGCAACAGTCCCTGCCACTAGGAGGTGGGCCAGTGGTCAGTGACGGGGATCTGGGCAGAACCCCAGCAGTGTGCACGGCAGACCAGACCCGGGTTTGGCGTCTGACCCTCCCGAGAGACCCTGAGCCAAGGGGCCCTCACATTGATTTGTACAATAGACGTGCTGCTCTCCCAGTGGCTCACTCAGCCGCCACTTATTGTCGCCGTCTGTGAGCTGACCCTGGCCAGGGCTGCCCTGGGTCCCCCAGTGTTCAGCTGGCTCTGTTCTGGGTCCTGGGTAGACATGGGAAACACGCCCATGTTTCTTTCCTCCTGGCACCCATGAGCGGTTTAGCTCAAGGCTCCAGGGTCTGGAGTAAGTCACATTCCTTCCCCGCCCCTGTCAAACCAGACCAAGGGCTTAGTGCAGTGCCTGGCAGGTCATAAGCGCTTCACAAACAGTCACTGTGGTTGCTTTGCTGTTTCTCAGCCCAGTAGGACCTGGGCTGTAAATTCTGTACCACTGAGCATGCCACCCTCCGGGTCAGCAATGATGGCGCTGCCCTCAGACCTAAGCCCTCACAGGCTCCTGATGTCTGGCTGCCTCCTCCTCCAGGAACTGGAGGACCTGAACAAGTGGGGCCTGAACATCTTCCACGTGTCAGATTATGCCCGGGGCCGCTCCCTCAGCTGCGTCATGTACACCATATTCCAGGTAGGGGTTGGGGAGGGGCGCTGAGTGGGGCTGGGAGAGGGGCAGGGCGCGGGAGGGGGCCAGGGCGGGGAGCTGAGGGCTAGTGGGGGTCACCGCCCCCCACACCTGTCCTCAGGAACGGGACCTCCTGAAGAAGTTCCACATCCCGGTGGACACAATGGTGACATATATGCTGACTCTGGAGGACCACTACCACCAGGACGTGGCCTACCACAACAGCCTGCACGCCGCCGATGTGCTGCAGTCCACCCACGTGCTGCTGGCCACGCCTGCGCTGGACGTGAGCACCGCCTCACCCAGTCCCCCTAACCCCAGCCCAACCCCCGCCCCTCTCTGACTGCCCAGACTGCCCATCTCTGGTCTGTTCATCCCTCTGACTCTGGGTCTCTGACATCCGCCTCTCTCTGACCCCGTTCCTCTCTCTGACCCTTCTCTTTTTCTCTCTGACCCCCCATCTTTTTTACCCCATGTCTCTCTGCCTCCCTCTCTCTGCCCCCAGGCTGTATTCACGGACCTGGAGATCCTCGCAGCCCTGTTCGCGGCTGCCATACACGACGTGGACCACCCTGGCGTCTCCAACCAGTTCCTCATCAACACCAGTGAGTGGCCCTTCTTGGGGGCGCGGCCTGTCGGGCTAGAGGGGGGCTGGGCACCTGTGGGTGCTCGCTCCCCCTGACCGTCCGCCCCACCTGACTGGCCAGATTCGGAGCTGGCGCTCATGTACAATGATGAGTCTGTGCTGGAGAACCACCACCTGGCCGTGGGCTTCAAGCTGCTGCAGCAGGACAACTGTGACATCTTCCAGAACCTCAGCAAGCGCCAGCGGCAGAGCCTGCGCAAGATGGTCATCGACATGGTGGGCGGGGCAGGGGCAGAGCGGGGAAGGTCGCTCTGAGGGGTGGCACCTCGGGAAGATGTGAGTTTGAGACCCTGGGTGCGGGGAGTCTTTGGGCGGGACCTGTGGGGACTGGTTGTACCCAGTGAACACTTGAGAAGCTCCGGCCGGCCAGTAGTGTGGCGGGGAGAGTCCTGGCCCCTGTGACAGCCCCCTTGTCCACAGGTGCTGGCCACCGACATGTCCAAGCATATGACCCTCCTGGCTGACCTGAAGACCATGGTGGAAACCAAGAAAGTGACCAGTTCAGGGGTCCTCCTGCTGGACAACTACTCCGACCGCATCCAGGTGCCCCCTTCACACATCCTATAAGACTGGCCCCTTCCCCGCCCCCCCACCCTGCAGACCTGGGTTGCTGCCCCTGGCCTTGCCTCCAGCTCTCTTCTTGCCCAGCTTCCTGTCTGTTTTTCTCTCTCCCCTCCCATCTTCCCCTTCCAATCCCCACCTCCTTTCCCATCTCCCCCCCCCCGCCCTTCCTACCATCTCTCCCAATTCTTCCCTTCCTCAACCCCTCCCTGGCCCTCCCTGCCCCTCTTCCCCACCATCTTCTCTCCCTCACCTTCCCCTTCCCTCCCCCCCACGGCCCCTACCTCTCTCCATCTCCCCACACCTCCCTCCCTCCCTTTTCCTCCTTCCCTCTGCCCTTTCCTGCATTAACCCCTTCTTACCTCCTCCCTCCTCTCCCCCACTCCTCTGCCCCTGTATTCCTCTGTCTTTCTTCATCCTCCCCTTGCCCACTCTCCCCGCAAGGGGGGCAGGTAAGGCAGCCTGAAGCCTCAGCCTGGGGCGGAAGGAGCATGGCCGCTGAGGGTCCCATGCCCCGTGCAGGTCCTGAGGAACATGGTGCACTGTGCGGACCTCAGCAACCCCACCAAGCCGCTGGACCTGTACCGCCAATGGACAGACCGCATCATGGCGGAGTTCTTCCAGCAGGGCGACCGCGAACGGGAGCGTGGCATGGAGATCAGCCCCATGTGCGACAAGCACACGGCCTCGGTGGAGAAGTCGCAGGTACCGCGCAGGGCACCAGCCTCCCCCCTCCCCCCCCACCGCCAGGAGCGTCTAGCCCAGAAGGTCCTGACCTGCTTCAGGTCTTTGTTTTTTCTTTCGATGTTTGTTTATATTTTTAAAATATATATTTGTACTGATTTCAGAGAGGAGGAGAGAGAGATAGAAATATCGATGATGAGAGAGAATCACTGATTGACTGCCTCCTGCAAACCTCACCCTAGGGATCCAGCCAGCAACCCGAGCATGTGCCCTGACGGGGGATTGAACCATGACCTCCTGATTCAAAGGTCAACGCTCAACCATGGAGCCATGCTGGGCAGGGCATTCTTTTCTTTTTAAATATATTTTATTGATTTTTTTTTTTTTTTTTTTTTTTTACAGAGAGGGATAGAGAGTTAGAAACATCAATCAGCTGCCTCCTGCATATTCCCTACTGGGGATGTGCTGGCAACCAAGGTACATGCCCTTGATCGGGATCGAAACTGGGACCCTTCAGTCTGCAGGCCGACGCTCTATCCACTGAGCCAAACCTGTTAGGACGAGGGCATTCTTTTCTATCTTGATGGGAAATATTAATACACAGCCTTTTCTCCCCACAGAACAACCAAACTGAGCCTCTGGCACACACATCCTCAGACAGCTCTAACTCATTTGCAGCAACTGCCGTAGTATCCCTTATGCGTAGCTGGCCCTTCGTTACAGGCCTTATGCTGATTCAGCCTGTTTCTGATATCCTAACTTGGCCAGTGAATTGGTCCCTGGTTTTTAGAAGTTTTTGAAATGAGATGCATTGACTTGTCTACTAGTGCATGTGCTGATTAATCTAACAAGAGAGACAGGAATGCCCTTTCATAACAAACTCAGCCCTTAAGTGTGAATGTAAGAGCTTCTCACCCTCCCACTTCTAGTCTCCTCCCAGTGAGACCCACCTTTCCCAGTTTGGTGCGTATGCCCTTCTAGACTGGGATTGCCCAGCCTTGGCTGTGTTGGCATTTGGGGCCAGATCCTTCTCAGATGCATCTCATGGTGTTGAGCGGCATCCTTGGCCTTCACCCACTAGATGCCAGGAACACCCTCCCCTTTCTGGGCATAACAATCAAAAATGTCTCCAGACATTTTCAAGTGTCTCCTGAGCCTTGCAAATCATCCCCACCCTTGATGAAAGCCAGTTTCATCCTTTTATTATATAGTCACTAGAGACCCAGTGCACAGATTCGGAAAGAAAAGGGATAGGTAACTAGAAACATCGATGAGAGAGAATCATCGGTCAGTTGCCTCCTGCACATCCTCCATTGGGGATGTGCCCGCAACCAATGTACATGCCCTTGACTGGAATCGAACCCGGGACCTTTCAGTCCGCAGACCTACGCTCTACCACTGAGCCAAACTGGTTTCGGCCCCAGTCTCCCTTTTAAATGTTGTTAGATCCCTCAGCATGGCGGTGCCATCTTTACCACTGCGGCCACAGGGTCATTATCCTTCTTCTCCCTTCCCCAGGTGGGTTTCATCGACTACATTGTGCACCCACTGTGGGAGACATGGGCTGACTTGGTCCACCCCGATGCCCAGGAGATCCTGGACACGCTGGAAGATAACCGGGACTGGTATTACAGCGCCATTCGGCAGAGCCCGTCGCCACCGCCCGAGGAGGAGCCGGAGGGGCCGGACCACCCCACCCCGCCCGATAAGTTCCAGTTTGAGCTCACGCTGGATGAAGAGGAGGAGGAGGTGGCAGCGTCCTCTGCCCCGGGGGCAGTTGCGGTGCAGGAATTATTCTCGGCTCAGGATGCATCCCCAGCGGAGGAACTGTTGGATGTCGGTGGCCAAGATGCATCCACGGAGGTGGAGGTGGAGGAAATGGCCTTGACACAGCGAGCAGACAGTGTGGCCGCGGGCCGGGATGAGTCCACATCCCCAGATGTACGGGCAGATGCCGTGGGCTGTAGCGGTCCCCACGCCCTGTCTCCGGAGAGCCCCGCTCTGCCTGCCTTGAGGACCCCACCCACCCCAGAGGCTACCCCGGGCCTCCTGGGCCTCCCCTTCAAGGCAGCCGAGGTGGGGGCCCAGAAAGAGCATCATCAGGCTGCCAAGAGGGCGTGCTGCGCCTGCACAGGGACATTGGGCGAGGACCCGCACACACTCCCGGCCCCTGGCGGGTGGGGGTCAGCCGGAGGCCCTACCTGAGCCTCGGCCCCTACACCCTCTTACCCTTCCTGCCTCCTCTCACCACCATCGTCCCCCGACTGCCTCCTTCACTGCCTCAAAGACTCTTCGGCCTCCTGAGAAAAAAGAAAACAGAAAAGTGGGGTTTTTTTCTCTTTTCTTTTTTTCTCCTTTCCCCCCACCCCCCAACCCAACCCCCGGGGCCACGTTTTGGAGGTGGGGCCTGGGGAAGGAGGGGCTGAGGTTCTGGAAGGGGTTTTATTTTTGGAATTTTCATTGTTACATTTTTAGAAAAAAAGAAGAAAAAAACAAACAAACAAACAAACAAACAAAAAACCAGGATGAAACACAGCAACTGTAGATGCTCCTGTTCCCGGCTCTCCTGGTCCATCTCTGACCCCTCCCGCTCCCAGGCCCAGGCCCAGTCTTCCAGCCTCAGTGGGCTCTCCACCTGAGCCCAAGCAGGCGTAAGGTCTCCTTCCAGGCTCTTCCTAAATGTGGAGGGTTTCTAGAATCCAGCCAGGAAAAGCCATTCTGGGCAGGGGCCCAGCGGGGGGGCGGGTCACTGTGAGCGGCCCCAGCTCCAGCCCCTCTCAGGCTCACTGCCTCCCCGCCAAGTCTTCCACCTCATTTTGCACAAACCTGGCAATATTGACTCGGGGGCAGGCGTGGGGGATGTCCTACAACTTAGGAAGCTGGGCGGGGAAGGTGTGAGGGGGACATTTGCACCACCAGCCTGGGGTCTGAGCTCCGAGGAGGGCCTGGTCCTCCCTCCACTTGCCACCCCCCGCCTTTCCCTTCCACTTTGGGTTCCGTTTGACTTTTCTCCATGGGGGGGGGGGCACAGCTCCAAGCTGCACCCCCTGCTTCCAGCTGCTTCTCCTCTTGTTTCTGCCTTAATGATTCTCATGGCCATAGGAGAGGGTTGCAGTGGCTCCCACCTGCACCTTGGGTGGGGTGGGGCCAGACCCAGAGTCCCATCCCAGGCATCCCCCCAGCATCCTCCTGCCCCCCACTCCCTGGCCCTTTGCCCTAGGAGGAAGCAATAATGGTGTACGCCCACATTCCCTTTCTGGGCCTCCCTCCCTGCCCTGGCACCAAAGCCATTTCTCCTTTGTTCCACCTTGCCAAGCTTCCCCTCCTCCCCCAACCATTCCCCAAGCAATATGACAGACAGATGCAAGGCCGTTTCTCTCCAAGCCATGGGGGACTGTTCAGAAGGAAGGACCCCCTCCACTCTCTCCCCTATTCCCCGTGGCCTGGTCCTGCTGTTGGGCCGGGCAGGGCCTCTCTTGTTGCCCCCACCCCTCCCATTCTGAGCACACGGTACTGTAGCCTCCCCCTCCCTACAGCCTTCCATCTGTCTGTCTGTCCCCCTGGGGAGTCCCACCCTCTCCCACCCTCATGATACTGTACAGGGTTCATTTTTTGTAGCGCAAGTAGTTTCTGTCCTAGACCTGCAACCGGAGTGGGCCTTTTATTGTTTTCTTGTTTTCCTTTCTTTTTGTTTGTACATACTGTAAGGTTGGTTTGTAAATTTATTCTACAGAGGCAAAAAGGGAAAATACATCTGCCCTTCCCCGGCTGACCCAGCCGGGGAAGGCAGGGTGGGGGTCTCCCAGGAGGGAGAATCCCTATTCCTGTTGTATTATACCAACTGTACCATAGACCCAAAAAGGGTGGGCTCGGCGCTGTTGGACGGGGAGTCGGTTCATCCAGGGGGTGAGGGCTGGGCAGAGCCTGTCCCTCCCCCTGCCCAGGGCTGGGTTCAACTGGCAACAGTTGAGATGGACCATCCCACCCCCGTTCAGGGCTCCTCTCTCCGTGGGGGGGTGCACAAGACCCTCTCGGGAGGTACTCCAGTTTATCCACTTGGAGGGTCACTGAGTCCATTGATCGATAATCTTTCGATCTTGTCTCCAATTAAACCGAGGCTTTCACTGATCTTCCTGGCTCATGTGCTTTCTTTCCCCGCTGGTCCTTGAGGTGCACCTCTCCAGCACTGCCTGCCTGGGGCGGGAGGTGAGGGAAGGGGGTTCTGACCCTATCCCTCCCCAAGAACATGGAGCCTGAGGGGGTTGCAGGGAGCTTGGCGGCAAGCAGCTTCCGAGTGCGGGCTAGGTCCTGGCACAGGGAACTCCGGGTTGTAAAACAGAGGTTGAGACCATGCAGCCTTTGGAGGCCAGCAGGCCCAGGTAACCTCGCTTCTCCCACACAGAACACATGTCTGGCACAACTCGGGTTCTTCTGGAATCTCAAAATCACCCCTGGAAGCCTCCAGCAGGCCTGTTGACACTTCTGGCTGCCAGGTCATGATAAAAGGTTTGGGGCAAACTCTGCCGCGTAGACGTTAAACGTGATTACCAGGCACAAGAGCATCTACACCTGTACATCCCATGAACTCCCAGCATTCCGTCCAGGTTCAAACCTGAATAATTTAAAGGAACAAACCTGAATAATTTAAAGGCAGGATTCTGTGTGGCTTTGGGCCTGGTAGTCGTATGGGTATGAGGCAAGCTGAATCCTCCAAATTAATGACTGGACAAAGAACAGGCTTGGGTTATAAACTGTTTTCTAGTTTGTTCATATAAGGATAGGGAGTGAGTGAGTCTCATATTTTAACCAATCCACATATTTTAAAACTAATAATTCCACCCATGGAAGCCTCTTTTTAAGACTTCTTTTAAAAAATATATTTTATTGATTTTACACAGAGAGGAATTAAGAGAGATAGAGAGTTAGAAACGTCGATGAGAGAGAGTCATCGATCAGCTGCCTCTTGCACACACACCCACTGGGGATTTGCCCACAACCAAGGTACGTGCCCTTGACCGGAATCGAACCTGGGACCTTTCAGTCCACAGGCCAACGCTCTATCCACTGAGCTAAACCGGTTTGGGCGGGAGCCCCCCTTTTTTTAACCTTTATCAGGCTAATGAGCCCCCAATTTCACCTAATCAACGGTGCCGCCCTGGCCAGTGTGGCTCAGTTGGTTAGGCATTGTCTCATTTGCCTAAAGGTTCCCAGTTAGGGCATATGCCCAGGTTGGTTGATGTTTCACTTTCACATCCATATTTCTCTTTCTCTCCCTCTCCCTTCCTCTCTCTCTAAAAAATCTTAAATAATAAAAACACAAATGGTGCTGGCATTCATAATGCTGAAGAGCAAAACTTCCCAGGTAAATAGAGGTATGGATAAGGGAAGTGTATGTGATGTGGGCTTTTGGATTAGAATATTGGCTGCCTCTGGGATATAATAAGCAAACACACACTCACACACACATAGTATTATATTTGAGTGGTTAAGCATCGTGTATATGTTACAGCTTGTGTGTTTTGAAACAAAATGAGGAGAGCTTCCTTAAATCTAAGGAAAAGTTGACATACCTACTCTGCCATCCATCACTAGCACCAGAGACCAGTTTGGATGTGATCTCTCTTACCTCAGTTGTCTTATCTATAAAATGGGATAAAAAATCTCAGACTTATGGAGTCAGCGTGTTTTTTTTTTATATATTTTTAAAATATATTTTATTGATTTTTTACAGAGAGGAAGAGAGAGTTGGAAACATCAGTCAGCTGCCTCCTGCACACCTTCCACTGGGGATGTGCCCACAACCAAGGTACATGCCCTTGACCGGAATCGAACCCGGGACCTTTCAGTTCGCAGGCCAACGCTCTATCCACTAAGCCAAACTGATTTTAGCTGAAGTCAGTCTTGAGCAATGCTGTCTAGTTAAAACTTTTTATAATGGGAATGTTCTATGTCTGTGCTATCAATATAGTAGCCACTAGCCCCATGTGGCTATTAAGCACTTGAAATATCGCTAGTTCAACTGAGAAACTGGAGTTTTCATTTTCCTTTACATTAAGTAGCCACATGTAGCAGATGGCTACTGTATCAGGCTGCACAGTTCTGGGACTTAAGTCTGAGAGGGATGGAGAGGATTTAGTGCATCTAGGTTTGTGTATGCTTGACTGTGGTTTAAAGATTCACAGTAGAGCCGAAACTGGTTTGGCTCAGTGGATGGAGTGTCAGCCTGCGGACTAAAAGGTCACAGCTTCAATTCCGGTCAAGTCATGTACCCTGGTTGCGGGCACATCCCCAGTAGGCGGTGTGCAAGAGGCAGCTGGTCGATGTTTCTCTCACATCTATGTTTCTAACTATCCCTCTCTCTTCCTCTCTGATAAAAAATCAATAAAATATATTATTAAAAAAAAAAGATTCACAGTAGATATCCTGGCCCAGAGGAGTAGAGGCAGCCTGGACCCAGAGAAGAGAAGCAACCCTGGAAAACTAGCTAGAAGTTTCCAGAGAATCTGAGCTTTGTGCAAGAGGCAGAGAGGAGAACCAGCTCTTTCCCCAAGGGTGTTTCAAAGGGAGGCAGAGTCGGGGAAAGGGTATCAGGGTGGGGGTCAGGAGGCAACCATACTCCTCCCCAGATTGCAGGCGATGGCCAGGTGGGCCCGGGTTAGCCTTCTTACTCCAGGCCTCAGTTTCCCCTAGTGTAAAAAAGGTCAGGTGTGATGTCCCCAATGTCTTCAGTGTTGGGACAAAGTTGACAGGCTGAGAATGTTGGTCAAAGGGCAGAGGTGGCATGTGACCATCACTGGCTCTGTAAAATCCTCCTGATGGGGAGTTCAGCTTTCCTCGGGCAAAGATGACCAAGGGCAGGGAGGCCTTGTAATCTGAATAGGGCTGGGTAACCTGGAGAAGGGGTGGGGCCAGTTTATTCTCTGAAGTTGACATCAGGCTACAGAGTCTTAAGCAAACAGCTCCGCCTGTCCCAGCCTTTCCAAGCTCTGGTCTCATTAGGAGGATTATCTTGTTCACCCTCCAGCGATCCTCGAGGTATGTACTATCATAGGCTCTATTTTGCAGGAGAGGAAACTGAAGCCAAGAAAGGATTTCACCATGTTGGGGAAATTCCGGGAAATAAGGCCAGGATCTCACTTTACCTGGTGCCTCTTCCATAATGAGAGCTGCCTGATACTTTTATATTATTACTGCTATTTTATTTC